TCAGGAGGCGTCTTTGCGGCCGCGGCCGCGCCGGCCGGGAAGGAGGAGGGGGTGGTCGAGGTGCTGGCGCAGGGACGCGCCGAGGATGACAGCTCCGACAGGACGCCGTCGAGCAGCCAACAAAACGTGGCGTCGTCTGCCGCGGCGACGAGCCGCCGCAGCGTGCCCAAGGGGGTGGCTGCCGCGGCTGGTGTCGGCCGCCTGTCAACGGACCAGCCGGTGTGAGGAGACGCTCTCCATGCCTGCTCCTCGCGTGTGGGCGGCGCCCTGAAGGGCCGAGGAGGCCCTCGACGGCGCCAAGGGGGCGGAGCAGCAGCGAGAGGACAGCGGCGAGCCGGCGCACCTAGAAGATGAAGGTGAGAGAGACGCTGCGACTGCCTCGAGGCTGTACTCCGGCAAACCATCGGCGGTATCTCTGCGCTTCTCGGCCGGCGCACGTCTTGCCGCTGCACGACGCGAGCCGAAGGCGCCGACGACTCGGCGAGAGCGTCCGCTGCGCGGAGAAGCGCGCCGTCGAGCGAATCAACGCCGCCGCCGCTGCCGTCACCACCACCGTCGTCATCGTCGCGGCCTGCACGGTCGGCGCGGAGAGGCGCGCGCACCGCGTGGGCGTGTCTCGCCTGCAGCTGCGCCACGACGCAGCGCACGAGGCGGTCCAGCGCGGGCGGGCGCGGCGCGGCCACGCCGTGCGCCGCCAGAGTGCGCTCCGCGCGCAGCCAGAGCGAGAGCGCGTCCAGCAGCGCCGCGAGGCCGCGCGCCTGCTCACAGCTCTTCGGGTTTCACGGTCCACCCACGTCGCCACCGCCGATTCGGCCGCCCGCGGCGCCTCGCGCGCCGACGGCGGCCCCGATGCGGCGCCGCGCCGCCCGTCCTCATCGCCGGCCGATGGCGCGCACGGGCGGAGCGCGAGGAGCGAGAGGGTCGCCGCCGCACCGCCGCACCCCTCCCCCGCCTCGCCGCCGTCGCCGCCAGCCCCGCCGAAGCAGGCGGCCACGTGCGAGAGCGCCTCGGAGAGGGGTTGGAGCGCGTGCGCATCGGCGGAGGCCCCAGCGCCGGACGGGTGCGCGCCGCGGCTGCGAGGCAGGGGCGGCGGCGGCGGCGCGGCGTCGAGCAGCGCCCCGAGGCGGGCACTCAGCAGCACGAGAGCGGCCGTCTGCCTCCACCTGAACGAGACGGCAGGGACGCGGCGAGTGGATACGCGGACGCGGCTGCGACGGGAGGGGCGGCGGCGGGGGGGCGGCGACACTTGCCTCACGCCGCTCTCGGCGAATCTCGGCGATCTCGGCTAAACTCCGCCGCTTCTCATCGTCGACGACGTCCCCCTCTGCGCCGCTCCCTCGCCCACCGCCGCCGTCCCCGCGCCCCTCCTCCCCCTTCCTCGGCCCCTTGGCGCCGCTCTCCTTGGCGACACTCTCGACCTCGTCGCCACGCAGAGCGGCGCGCAGCATGTTTGCCCATGCCGGCGCCGCGACCGCACCTCCCCCATCTGCCCCGTCGACCTCGCCACCCTCGCCGCCCTCGCCGCCCTCGCCGCCCTCGCCGCCCTCGCCGCCCTCGCCGCCCTCGCCGCGTCCGCCCCGCCCTTTCGCGACGCCTGCGGCTGGCGTGAAGAAGACGATGGCCGCCTGCACACGGCGTCAAGCCGTGATGCGGCGCACCTCACACCGGGATGGGAAGCGCAACGTCGGGCGGCGGCTCACCGCGTGGTCGAGAGCGGCGAGCCGCGGCGCCTAGTGGTACGCGGCTCGCGATTCGGACGGGCCGCTTCCCGTGATCGCGAGACAGAGAGCCTTCTGCCGTGTGCGGCGCGAGCGACGGCAGCGCGTAGCACCAGCGCAGCACCGCGCGATGCGCCTGCCGACGAGCGACGAACCCGCTGAGTGGTGGAGTGGTGGGTCGGTCGATAGGCCGCGGGGCGGCGTGACGTGCCTTGCGAGGCAGCGCCGCGCCGGCCTCCGGCACCGCCGCGCAGAGCGCAGCCACGAGGCCGAGCGACGCAACCAGCAGCTGCTCCTAGGAAAGGAAGGGCGACGCGCATGAGAAACACATGGGCGTGCAGCGGGAGCGGCGCAACAGCCAGCAGCTCCTGCGGCGATCCGTCCGGCGATCCGTCGCCGCCGTGGCAAGCCTCGCCACGCCCGCCGCCGCGCCCCTCCATCGCGGCGGCGGCGGCGGCCGGCTGCACCGCCTGCGCCAACACGAGTGCGGAGGGGAGTAGCCACGCCACCGCCTCGGGCGGGTGCGCCTGCGGTGGCAGTTCGTCGTCGGTGAGCTCCAATTGGAATGCAATCTATTCTTGGTTTCGTTGGAGGACCTGCGGTGGCAGCCCCGCGACCGCGCGCAGCAGCCGCGTGATCTCGCGCGTGGCCTTGGCCTGGGAGTAGTCAGCGACTCAAGGAGTGAGACAATGCGAACTCGGCGAATCTCGGCGAATCTCGGCGAGTCTGCGCGAGTCTGTGCGCCTTGAGGGCGAGAGGCTGGCCACTGGCGCTGCCGCCGAGAAGCTCCTCCCATCCGCGCCGCGCCCCCTCACCGCCGGCCCTGGCCGAGGAGGCTGCCCCCGCAGCCTCTTCCGTTTGCGCCAGCAGGAAGGCGAGCCTGCGGCTGGCCTTAGCACCGCCGCCCGCCCCCGCCGAGGAGGGAAGGCGCGCCTGCACCGCGCGCCACGCCGCTGGGAGCAGCTCGGCGCGCATGCCTGCAGGGCGGAGAACGGGGGAGGCGGGAGCGGGGGAGTGGAGCGGCCGGGGCGGCGAGGGCGCGGTGACGGCGCCTCTCATCCGCGATGACGGAAGGCTACTCCGGAGTGTCATCTGGCAAACACCTCCTGCACGTCTCGGGCGCATCTCGGGCGCATCTCGGTCGAATCTCACCGGGCAGCTCGTAGAGCGCGGCGCAATCCACCGCCGCGCGAGAGATCGAAGCGACCGTGACGGAGACGCAAGCGGCGCGTGCGGCCGTGCCGCCGGCGTCTGCGGAGTCGGCGGCGGCCGGCGGCGGAGGCGAGGAGAGCAATGTCTCGAGCGGACGGGACGGGACGGGCACTTCCGAGTCAGCTCCAAGACCGTTTTGAGGCCCGTCCGTGCAGAGGGACGTCCAGAGGAGGTCCGCCACGCGCCTCCGCTGCTCGCCTGCAGGTAGGTTCCGAGACGGCTCCGAGACGGCTCCTCGAGAGACGAGGCCCGCGCCGCCGCTGCTCGCCGGTGCCGTGCTCGTCCACCAAGGCCAAATGCTGTACGAGGAGTGACTAAGAGCCCACGAAATCTCGGGTGAGCGCGGGTGAGCTCGGCTGAGCTCCACCTCGAGCGCTGCGCGACGCGCCCACTGCGCCACAAGCCCGGCCTCGGCCTCGCTCCGTCCCTCGCCTCCTCCGCCCGCGCCCCCGCTGAGCGCCGCCGCGCCAAAGTCGGTGCCGTCCCACCGCTCCGCGCGGGAGACCGCTCGCCGGGCGAGAGGGGCGCGCCTAAGACTCACGGCTGCAGCTGAGAGCGGCGCCTCCTCGACGCGGCTGCCGTGCGCTTCAGCGGCGACGCGCCAGCGCAGCAGCAGCTTCAGGGCGCGCCGCACCGCGGCCCTGTCCTCCGTCCCGCCCGCCTCCGCCCCTGCACCACCGCCCTCCTCCTCTGAGGCATCCGCGGCCTCGCCCTCCTCGCCGCCCTCCTCGTCGCCGTGCAACAGCCCCTCCCCCTCCCCCTCGAGCCCCTCCCCCGACGCCACCGCCGGCGGCATCGCGCAGCGGCGTCGGGCCCCAAGCTCCCGCGCCCGCGTGAGGTCGCCCGCAGACGCGCGCAGCGACTGCGCGACCACGCCGAGCGCCGCGTGCCTCTCGAGCCCGCGCAGCTCCTCGGCGACCTTCTCGCGGCCCTCGCCCCCGTCGCCGTCGCCGCCCGCCAGAACCCGCCTCGCCGTGGCCAGCGCCGCAGCCACCGGCTGCCCGGAGCCCGCCGCCCAATCCCCCGGCTGCTCGAGCTGCGCGCAGGCAGCCTCCAGCGCGCCGCTCGCTCTCCACAGGAGCAACGAACCCGCCGCCCCTGCGCCAAACGCCCCATCCGTCGCGCTGCCGGCGCCGCTCGCTCCGCTGGCGATAGCCGCGACGGCGACGCAACACGTGCGCAGCGCGGGCGCCGTCGTCGGCAGGATGGGGAGCGAATCAATGACCAGCGAAGAGAGAGCGGCGAGCTCGGCCCAGCGGAGTGAGCCACGCGCCGCGGCGTGGCGCTCCCTCGCCGCGTCGCTCGCGCGCTGCAGCGCCTGCAGCAGCGGCTCGAGGAGCTCCGCTGCCTGCGCCGGCTCGCACGCCGCCACCGCCGCCGCGAGCGCCGCGCAGAAGTGCGCGCACCGCAGCAGCGGCCGCAGCCCGCTCGGGCGGTACGCCTGCGCGCAGAGGCCCTCGAGCAAGTGGTGGAGGCGGCGGGCGGCCGCGTGCGTCTCGACGAGCCGCAGCACTAGCATCCCCCTGGCGGAGGTAGCATCACCGCTGGCGAAGGCACCGCGGGCGCTACGCGGGCCGACGCCTC